TATTCGTCACGTATATCGTCACATTTTATCATCGGGAAAATTAATCGAATAAATAATACCTTCATTAATTTTAAACAAATAAAACATCTTACGATAGAACAAAAATAAAAGACGAAATCATTAATTTCAATCATGTTAATTTAACCTAATTAATCTTAAGAAATTTATTAAAGTTGATTTAATTTTTTATTTTAAAAGAAATATTACAAAAAATCCCATACTTCACAATTCATTAATTATATATTAATTTTTCTAATTTATTCAATAATAATAATATTTTTTAAAAAAAACTTTTCTAATAATGAAAATGAATAAAAGCCAAGACTATTTTTTAATATTTAGTTCTTTTATTTTATATTTAAATTATTATCTTATATAAAATTCTTATATGTATTACAAATTTTTTTTTATAAAAAATTTAATAATAATATAATTATATTGTATAATAAATTATGTAAAATCGAACGAATATATAGAAATAAATGCAAGTATTTTTTATCGAACATATTATATTGAAATTGAATGTATTTAAAAATTATATCAAGCTGTTATTTTTTTAATATATTTAAACTAGCGATATAATATTATCTAAAATCTAATATTTAATTTTTAGGAATTTTCACAAAATTTGAAAAAAGATTTTCAAAAATATTCAAACAATAAAATATTTGAGTCAACCTGTTTTGGTTTCGAATAATATAACACAAAATAATTCAAAGAACATCTATAAAGAATAGTAAGTAATTTTTTTGTATTTATGTATTTGATGTTAATAAAAAATATTAATTAAATTTCTTCTCATTCAAAAAAAAAAAAAAAATTCTTTTAATATAATATTTATTCTTTTAATATAATTATTTATAGTCCTAATTTAATGCAAGAGTGAAAAAGTGCTTCATATTCATGAATTTTCTAAAAGTTTATCTAATAAAATAGAACTTATAAAATCAGATTATAAATGTGTTTTTCTATCTAATGTTTATAATAAAAGGAAAGTAAATAACTTAAAAAAAAATATAGATATTTTTATATTTAAAAATCCAATATTTATATTATTTCTAACTTTTGCATCAGTATAAATATATACAAAAATTTTATATATATATCAATATAAATATATATATATATATTTATATATATTTTTATAAATATATATATATTTATATTGATATATATACAAAATTTTATGAAGAAAGTTAATCTTTAATCTTTCAATAATAAAAATTTTTAAATTCTAAATGATTTTATAGTATTTATAAGCTTATATAAAAACTTATTATAAATTTTATAATTTTCAAATAATTTACATTGAAAATGATTAATTATAATATTCTATATACATAGAAATTTAATAAAAATATTAATTATTTAGTTTCAAGCTGAAGAACAACGAATTAATAAACAGAATGCAAGTTATCTTCTTGCAATAATTGCTTTTGGAATTGCTAATACAGTTGGTCGTATAATTATGGAATACATATCAGATAAGCAATGGATTAATTATTTATTAATATATCTTAGTTTTTTTAATATGTGGTGTTAAGTATTATTCTTATATTTATAATTTAATGATAGTTTTTAATATTATTAATCAATATTATTATATATTACAAAAATAGTAAATATTATACTATCATTAAAATAATAAAATAATATCATCATTTATTATTATTTTAATTTTTAATTATTTAGCTATAACTTTTAGTACATTTTGTGCTTCTTTCGCATCATTCACAATGGTATTTTTTCTTTTATATTTTTTTCTTTTACATTTGGATTTACATCTGAGGTTTATGCCGGTCTTACGTCAGTGATTTTAATAGATTTATTAGGTTTAAATCAACTCACCAATTTTATTTGGTCAACTTTTCTTATTTCAAGGTTTTGCTTCATTTTTAGAACCACTTATTGTAGGTGTGAATACAATAATTATAGTTTTTAATATCATATAATTTCTTATAATTAATATTTTTATTCTTTAGAATGGCTATATGATGGACTTCAATCTTATAATCCTGGAATTTATCTGCAGGTGGTATGATTATTATTAGTCGATTGATATTATTTTTTATATCTATTATTAACAAAAAATTCAGAAAAAATAAATATTTAAAAAAATAAAAATGTAATAAACAATTAATTTGTATAAAATATTTCTTTCATTTAGTTATTATTTGATTTTTTACTATCATATATATATATATGCAGGATATCTCAAAAATCTCAAAAATCTCAAAAATGTAAAAATATTGGTTAATTTGAAATTTTAATTGAAGCTAATTTCAAGCATTTTTCTTTTCAAAAACTTTTCTTTGTTAATAAGTTATTAACAAAAAACACTGATCAATCTTGAAATCAATATCTCAAAAATCTTCATCTTAATNGTTTCATCTTAATATTTTTAACACATTTTATGTGTATATATATTTTTTATTTATATATACTTTTTTAATTATAAAAAATTTATATAAAATAAATTATTATTTAATTTATATTAAATATATTAAATAGAT